GTTCCGAACAACCATTTATATGTTTTACCAACGACGTTCAGCAACCCTCTTTTCTGCCTAACACTTTCTGAAGATGGAGTTATTGATTTTACTTTGACTTGGAGTATTTCTATCTCTTTGTATAATAAATCTTTGTTAAAAATGTCTAAATTCTGTATATTTGCTTTGATTTGTGTAATTATCAAGTTAATTTCATTTGGATCGATCATGTGTACAATTGTAATTGTGTCATTAATTATTTCTACTTCCCTCAATCTAATTTGAGTGTAACCAATTTCCTCAGTAATTTTGGAGACTTGTAACATTTGTTGGGTTCCTGTTATGAGCATCATCAGAGTCATTACAAAAGCCAGGATCTGCAAATTTATATGATCTTTTTATATTTGATGTGTGAATATTTTCTAATTTTCTTTTTATGAATTTAGGTTCATTTTTATGCCTAACATTTTTATAGTTCTTAATAAATCCTTCTGTACGGTTTTCTGTATAATTTTCTCTGTTTCGGTTTCTTTTGGAAATTCTAAAAAGTTTTGCTTCGTCCATTCGCTTTTTAATTAATTTGTGATCGATTTTGTTATATTCTACTTCTAATGGCGTAGCTTTTATTGTACTATGATAAGAATTATTATAGAATTTTATAGCTTTACACATTTGAGCTGTGATTGGAAGTTTTTCTGCTAAATTTAAGGTTCTTATACGTTCAGTAAGAGTATTATTTAACCTTTCAATATCAGAATTCCCTGTATGACTGTTAGGTTTTGTGGCATGGTAGTCTATACCCTTAGCAGATAGAAAGTCACGAACATTTCTGGAATTAAACTCATTATCAAAAATAAATGTTTTTGTATGCCCTTTTATGGCTAAAAATTTATTTATTTTTTCTACAATCGTTCGACTATTTCTGTCAGGTAAATTGAAAAAGATTGCATGTTTTGAGAATTTGTCAATAAAAATTATAAAAGATTGCTTACTGTTAACGTAAGTATCTATATGAACAATTTCATTTACAGTTGTGGGTGTTTGGGTAAATAGAAATTTTGATTTAATAGGATTTCGGTCATATTTCCCTCCATTGCAAATATCACAATTATTGATTATCTCATGAATTCTAATTTTCAGTTGTGGATGGTAAACCTTATGCTTCATTCCCTCATAAGTTGGAATAATTCCCGAGTGTCCTACTTCATATTTGTGAAAAAATGCTATCTGTTTCTTTAGTTCATGATCTTCCTGTATATCTTTGGCAAAATAGCTACACTTCACAAAGGACATTTTCTGATTATTTGAATATGTACTTAATAAAATTTGTTGTAACTTATTATACTCATGATGATTAAGTTCAGAGTATATTGCGACTTTGGCATTATCAAAATGTCTTCGTACTATATTAATAACATTTTCAGAGATAATATCCCGTTTATCGATAAAAACTCGTTTGTTTTTGAAAATATTGATTACTTCAACTGTCTTGGTTTTTACTAAGATTATTTGTTTCCTAAAACGGTTTACAATGGTATCAAGAATTTTAAAATGGTCATTAAAATTTTCTACCTGAGAATGAATAGTTTCGCCTTCAACTGATACATTATGGTTATTATCATTTTCTTCTAAATTCGTGTTATTATCTTGGGAGTTATTAGCTTGTACTTCCAAGGAAACTGATGTTTGGTTTTGTTGATTTTCGGCGCTTAAATTTTTGATTCTTAACATTTCATCCAAGGTGAATCCCAAATTTTCGGAATCTAACATATTTATTTCATCGCAATTAATTCGACTAAGAAAATCGGCTATTTTATTTTCTTTTCCGGTAATGTAATCGATTTTGGCATCGTACTCTCCCAGCTGCACTAACCATCGTTGCAGTCTAGGACTAATATCCTTACCAGAATTTTTTACTTGTAACCACTTAAGTGGCTGATGATCTGTTTGCAGATCAAACTCTCTCCCAAAAATATAAGGTCGATAGTACTTTACTCCCCACACTATTGCTAATAATTCTTTTTCAATAGTGGAGTAATTTTTTTCATGGTCATTTAATGTTCGCGAAGCAAACGAAATTGGGTGACCCTCTTGAGTCAAAACTGCGCCGATTGCAAAATTGCTGGCATCAGTGATGAGTTTAAAACGTTTATTGAATAAAGGATATTTTAAAATGGGATGATTTGTTATGATATCTTTTAGTTTTTCAAATGAAATAATATAATTTGGATCATTTAAATTAACCTTTGCATTCTTTTTTAAATATGCAACCATTGGATAGGCTATTTTAGAATAGTCCTTTATAAACTTTCTATAGAAACCAGTAATTCCTAAAAAGGATTTAATTTGTTTTTGTGTAGTAGGCAGCTTCAATTTTTGTATCACTTCAATTTTATTTGGGTTGGGCTTTATGCCCTCAGATGTAAGAATATGGCCCAAAAAATCGGTTTCTTTTTTTAGGAAACTACACTTTTCTAATCGGATCTTTAGCTTTGCTTCTTTTAGTTTTAGAAAAATTTTTTTCATGTTCTCCATATGTTCAGACAAGGAAGTACTAAAAATTAATACATCGTCTAAATAAACGACGCAAATTTTATTTATAAATTCTCGAAGCACAGAATTCATAAGTCTTTGAAAGGTGGATGGGGCATTTTTAAGCCCAAAAGGCATCCGCAAAAATTCATAATGACCTAACGGGGTCGAAAATGCGGTTTTCTTCCTATCGTTGTCATGCATCAAAATTTGATGAAAGCCTTTGGCAAGGTCTATAGACGAAAAATATTGAGCTTTACCTAACTTATCTAAAATTCCATCTATATTAGGAATTGGAAATTTGTCATTTACAGTAACTTCATTCAGTTTTCTGTAATCAATTACGATCCGCCATTTTTGAGAACCAGATTTGTCCACTTTTTTTGGGACTACCCACAAGGGACTATTATAAGCAGAATTGCTTTTTTTAATTATATTATGCTTCAACATTTCTTTTATCTGCCTTTGAATTTCTAATTCATGAGTTTGTGGATATCTGTATATTTTTGAATAAATAGGTCGATCACTTGTAGTAACAATTTCGTGCTTAATTTCGTGGGTAAAAGAGAGTTTATCCCCCTCTTTGAAAAATAGTTCACTAAAGTCCTGTAATAATTTTTTTAATAATTGGTTTTCTTCAGAATTTAAATGTCTCAAATCTAAATTTTCTATGTCGCTGAATTCAAGTGTACATATTTCCTGATTTTTATAGGGGCTAAAAATTTTAAAGTGTATAATATTGCCTAATATGTTGACAAATTTATTCTCTTCATCAATCTTAGCTTTAAGAGGGATGAGAAAATTTTGTCTTATTATGGCATCATAATTTTTACTACTGAAGTCAATTACCTTCCAATGGAAGGTACCTGAGACGTTAAACTCTCTAGGTATAGAAGTTATTATTTTATGTGTCACCTGATTAATTCCATTTATTGTTCGGTAACAAATCGGTGTTGGGAGTTTCTGTTCAGTGAAATGATCTTTGAGAATATTTGGTTTAATTAAACTAGTGTCAGAACCGGTATCAATGAGACATCTAATTTCTTTGCTACCAATTGTTATTGTTATTATGGGCAATCTGCAGATCGAGGCAGGTTGAAAAAATTTACATCCTCCTCTACATTACCAATATCCATTGGCTGAAAATCAGTTCTTTTATTAATTTGGCTACGTCTAGTATTTTGGGTATCAACACTCATATGTGAGTTTCTAGTCTGAATTGAATTATTGAACTTATTATTTTGGTTTGACTGTGTTGAATTATCATTCTGATTATATCGCCTGAAATTACTGCTGTAATTATATTGATTATTGGGTGCAGATGGTGTCTGATTACTTCGTTTATTATAGTATTGTGACTGTAATGGTCTTTTCAGTCTATAATTAAAGTGAATTGTTCGTGGATCGTCTAGCGCTTTAATTTGCGTATACTTCCTAATAACATCGTTAAGTGTACTGTTTTGATCAATATATGTTCTTAAGGGTATGTCAATTTTGTCAATTAAAATGTTTACTAAGTCCCTATCTACTCTACTTGGCTCATAAATGTCTGGCTTATTATCATCGAATGTATATATTTTATTAAGTTTTGACCTCGTCATTTCAAAATAAGAAAATAAATCTCTTAAATTACTTACTTTTATATTGCGACATTTATTGTAAATATCACCATATGTTGCCCTCGGTCGGTAATAGTCCATTAGCTTAATTTTAACTTGGTCCCAGGTTGTATTTGGTCCAAGTCCTCGAATATAGTTGCCGGCATCACCTGTTATCTTCTCGTTGATTATAATGGTCATTGCTAGCTTCGTTAATTGATGGTTTTCTGGTGGGCATAGTTCCATGACAGCTTCTACTGATGCTATAAAAGCAATGGCATCATGATCCTTGTTGAGGCATTTTATTTGGCGGAATTGCGTCAAAATATCTTTTGGTGCTAGAAGCTCTTGATGTTGCTGCATATTTTGCTGTATTTGCTGTTGTTGTACTTGCTGAACTTGCTGTTGTATTTGTTGTTGTTGTACTTGTTGAACTTGCTGTTGTATTTGTTGTTGTTGCACTTGTTGAACTTGTTGTTGTACTTGTTCGTGGAGCAGAATTTTAGCTTCTTGCCTCCTTATAACTTCTTCCATTTCCTGAAGTCTTTGCTGCAATTGCTCCATTTCGTTGCTCATAATTGGTCGATTTAAGTCGAATGC